GATGTGGCTGTTGTCGTCGTCGTCATCATCTTCATGTCCATAATCATTATCACCATCAGTCTCTACTATTAGTGTAGTTGTTGCTACTGTTGTTGCTGTGCACCTTTGTCTCTGTCCTTCTGTCTTTACCTCTCTCTCTCTCTCTCTCTCTCTCTCTCTCACTCCAACTGGTCAAGGCAGATGACCACCCACCTAGAGCCGAAGGGTCTGTCCTAGGTTTCATAACCTCAATTCACACCTTCTCCCTAACCCTAACCAGGACATCAAAAATGGCATTTTGCCGCATTAAGGCTGGTCTTTGGTCCATGAGGACTACTGGGTCTACAAGGTCCAGGTTTATACAAGCAAAGGTCTGTAACCAACATGTGTAAAGCACTCTCTCTATACCTTAATACACACATAGATACATGTACGCATACATACAGTATATATTGTAAATTATCACATGCACACATTTGAAGAGACTGATATGAACACACATACACTCATTAATGTTCCCTTCCTCTTGCACTGCCAGCAGGGACATCTGGACACCAGTGATGTGAGGACCCAGAGGAAAGCTGAACCTGATATTTGGCTCTGTGTATTTTTGTCTCTTTGTGATGTGGACACACATCTGTGTGTCTCTGCCCAGCCTATTCATAGAACAACCACTGCAGCAGTCTTGAGAGCCTCCCATAGGACTCTATCTCAATGTAAAGATTGACACATTTATAGTGTCTGTCTTTCTCTGTCCATTTGTCCATCTATCCACCCATTCCCTCATTCACCTTGGCTTTCTATTTCTAAAGGCTATTCACTGTGTTCTCTTATCTTCCTCTACCCATCCAACTCTGCTCTGTTCTCCTGGCTTTGGCCAAGTCTCCTATACTTTCCCACACTTCCAGCTCTGTGTGTATACGGGCTGTCCACTGGCAAGTCCAACACTTCTGCAGAACTGACTCATGCTGCCAAAAAGATGGCCACCTCTGCCAAGAAGGTTGTTTTTAAAAGACAGGGCAACCCACCCCCCTACCCTCAGGGGATCATGATTGTGTCAACATGGTCTTTCAGACCCAGCCTCAGGCCGAAACCCACCAAACACCATACCCATAGTGCAGAGATAGCTGCACAGCGCAGATAGGTGGACTCACAGTGGGGCAGTGCCCACAGCTTCCCTCTGCCAGCTATACTGGAGAAACAACACGGAGGTGGGTAACTCCATGCCAGCTTCCTGCCATCAGATTAATACAGTCTGGCATGCACTGATAGTAGGCTGGCTGGATCCACAGACTGAACAGCAGCCACGCACAGCTGTGAAGCACTTCAAAACATGAGACAGGGAGTAAAATCAAAGGTGGCAGCACAAATCAGATGCAGTCAGTAAGTGGCTGATGCGTAACATCTTCCTTTACATACAATTTGTGGCCAATGTGGACATAGAGCCACATTAAAGATCAACCAAGTCTGAAGGGGCCCTCCACTGATTTTACACATGGAAAAACAGTTTTGGTAGTCATGAGATGTACCCCTAAGCCTTTTGAAAACTGCTCTACAATGTCTTTTGTGGCTCTGTATAAAGCTTTAATAAAGTAATTCTGATGATGTCACATTGAGTTGCATTATGGGGAATGTAGGTTCCAGCATTTTTGGTTGTTTGACCCATACTAGGCACAAAAGGTCAGGATATCTCTGCCTCTTTTGCAGATTTTTACTCTTCTTTCTGGCTATATAAGCTTACCCAAACTTTATGAAACTATGTATTACCGTATTTCTTTAAAGTGGACCACCAGAAAGATGGTCTTTTCATAAAACTGGGCTGTCTAAGCAAAAGAAAAATGCAAATATTTTTGAAATTGGTGAAACATGATTAAATAAAACATAATAGGGGCTGAGGTATTTCTATTGGTACTACACATATGCAATCTTTCATCAGTAAAAAAGTGCTAAAGTGCCTAATCACAAACTTTCTTATATTACAGCTAAACAGTATAATAAAATATGTTTATGAAGACATTTGAGGCAAGTAATAGACAATGCAGTAACAAATTGATTCATAGTTGATGCAGAGTTTGACAGTTTGATCTTGAGTTTTGTGAGCACCCCCGCTCTTGTTCGGTTTGTGTCTCGTTCATGGTCTGCAGAGGCAAGGTGGCATGTAAAAACATGGAAGTACAATCTGTAGTTTGAACAACAGCCCACAGAGCTGGCAAAGTCCGCCTGGTGACGTGATTAGTGTCATCTGGCAGACCTTTGTTGGCAAATGGGTGGGTACCTCTGGATGCAGGGCATTTGCATATACTACTCACATTGAAATGATACAAAGCTGGCTGAAGCTTCTCTTTAAGTACATGAAGGAGAATCTACACCTGCTGCACTGCCACTATAGAACCAATATGGCAGCGTCTCTGCCCATAGTTAGTGACCTTTGACCCCCAGTGGTCAGCAGACGGAGGGGTGCCTCTGACATTAGATTACTTCAGCCACACCTGCTGCCGGCAAGGGAGGGGTCACACCCTCCTACCTCCCTCCACCTCTGGAAATAGACCCTGTTGCTACAGAAGTTACATAAGTCCCTGCTTTGTTGAGTGGTTGATTAATGAGCACAGACGGTAAGAGACGTGTAATATCTATTTCCGTTCCAGTGTGCAGTTGCATGTTGGAGTTTACATTCTTAGGAGGAAGTGAATGTCCCACCTCTTCCTTCACTATTGCATGCAGTCTACTTTGGCAACTATATCCACATTCCAAGAAAATAAATATGTAAATCCCGAAAAAGACATTTAATTTAGATTTAATTTGGTTTGCCTGCCTGTGTTTGCAGAACTACGAAAGGAAAGCTAAAACTTTGGAGGGAGATCTGCAGGTCATCGACTAGACAAGGAGGAGGACACCTTGGTGTTGGTAGGTTAATAAAGTGCTGAGGAGCCAGCTGTCATTCAAAGAAACCCACTGTGATACTGCTCCAATTCAGCCAGTCAGCATCTCTACACCTACAGTTCTCCATGGCCTCTGGAAGAAATCAATACCTTCTAGTGTGGATTGGATTCAGCTTTAGACTGGTTATTCTATAATGTACATATAGGCAGGATGTACTGGCTAGAGAGAGAGGAGCCAAATAACTACAGTATAGTATATAAAGCTGAACTGAACTGCACATGAAATTCAGACCTGAGTTACATTACTGAAACAACCTTACAAAAAGTCCCAAAAAAAGAGAGGAGGCATGAGTTAGTAAAAGAGCAATATTTCATACTTTAATATTATCTCTGGCAGGCATTAGCTGTATTAAATACACATACTGCTTTCCAGTTTTTTTTTCCAGTTCACATTTAAGCATGTAACCAACTTTATTCCAGTCAAAACTTAATCTGAATGTTCTGTTAATACCAAGGCAAATAGAATTTGAAACAATTATTATTTACATAAGATACAAAAATATATTTCACAAAAAAGACAGTAAGGAGCTCTATAAAATTACAAATATATTTCTATTATAAAAAGCAATTTTTTTAAATACTCTTCCAGCTCAAGTGTTGGATGAGGGAGTGTAACCTGGTCTGCGTGTGGGGGTGATTTGTGACGATAAATGTTCCAGTGACTCTTTGCAGCGCATATTCCATTTCTTCATTCCTCGCAACGTTTCATGGAGTCCATTACCTCATGGCTGCTGAAGTATTCTTGTCCTCAGCTTCCCTACAAGGCTAATTTTGACCCTTCTTGCAGTCCTTACAGCCCAGTAGCCAGGTGGCCTGGAGTTAGTAGAGCACTGCTGGGTTAACTTTAGGAGAATGCTGGCTAGACCTGATGCCGTGGTGGAGCCACTTGGAAGTTCCATCCAGCCGTATCCTGTTGGGTGGTTTTGGGTGTGGGGGTCAGGCGCTTCTTAAGGGGGGGGTTCCAGACATCCACTCAATTCCTCTCTCATGGCTACACTCCAAGATGACTTTGAGCCTCCTTGTCACATGCCTAAGAACAGACAGAGACAGACAGACAGACAGACCTGATTAGAACAGGACTCCCTGGCTCCTGGGTTGCCAACTCTATTCTCAGAGCGGCGGTCGCCAGGTTTTATAGGCTGGTCATCGTAAACACTGGTGGCCCTAATAAATGCCACTCTCCAGGGCTAACGGGGCTGGCTGACTGCCTGACTGGCTGACTGAATGTCCAGCTTTACAGAGGGACTGGAATGCCTGCGAGCTGTGAAAGAAGGACATTTAGTGGCCAAAACACAGAACAGAGTGGGCCGGGCAGTGGAAGGAAAAAAACATGGAAATAAGGAAAGTTTCTCAACTCCCACTTTCTGTCTCATCCCGTTCCTGACATTTGCAGTTCTGGTTCAGTCTAGGTTTGCACCAGCACACATTCTTCATACTCCGATGCAAGTTCAAACACTCATGAGCCCCGCAGTAAAGACGACATCCAACACAAATTAGCTGTGTATGTGTACTACCCATGACGTTCTTTAAGCTACTAAATGACGCCCTAATGCCTTCTTGGGGTACAGTGTCATTCATGGACAATACACAGAGCTCTATGTCTTGGCTGTACTGAAGAGAAAAAGGCAAGCTCACAGCGCTATATAAATTGAATGGTGTTGGTAGCAGCACTTTCTTTAAATTTGAGTAAAGGGTGAAAAGGGATACCCTGCCTTTCCCTCCAATGTAACCCCAGAGGCCTCATGGTCTGCAAAACACGCCTAAGCTCCTTCATGGCCCTGACACATCATTGTTTCTTAGAAACCTAAGGGGAGTGACTCCTCTGTCACTTTATGAGTGGTTGTTAGCATAGCTGACATAAGGAACAAACGCTCCTGTTAATCCTGAGTAGTGGGCGGTGCCAGCATGCACACGGGCTAATTCATCAGGGGTCCTGACAGCTAGGTTGCATTAACACTTACTCTCTAATGTCTTGTCAAGGTCGGCGATGAAGTCTTCCAGTTCTTTAGTGTCACCAAGTTTGGCTGCAAGGGAAAGAAAGAGATTTAGACTTAAAAGTGACAGTTTTGTTGTAAGCATTATAATACAGCAAATAAGACTTCCATTATATGATTTATACTTTGTAATACACTTTGACCAATGTCTAATTACAGTGATCTGATTCTATCTACATCAACAGACCCTGCCTGTGTTTACTTGGAAAGGTGGTCTCAGGCACGGCTCGCATCAGGTGGGAAAACTGGCCTTTCAAGAAGTTGTGATCGCAACAATTAACACAAATTCAACCAATCTCCTGCTTGAAATTGCAATTTTGTCCTATCACTGCTATTGTTCCACAGTTTTAACCACTCATTGTAGTCTTCTGCTCAAAAAGTTGAGACATGCTACACCAAACTCACTTTGTTGTTTCCAGCTATGAAGATGCAGGCCATGCAGACATCTGCGACACAAACGCCTCATTTCACAACAGCGAAGGCCTTTTTATTTAGAGGGTGATGTCAGTCAACAAGGTGAATATAGGCCATATAGGCCAACCGATGTTTGGCTGATAAATTGGTGCATCCCTGTGTACACTATGTGACATCATAACTAATTTATCTTGTTATTGGCTGGCCTTTCTGTTGCAACAAACATATGTTGCGTAGATGGCAACGCACGGGTACGGAAAAACATTACTTATGTGAAATAAAACTATACACAAAATAGTGTGTGTGTTTAAGCATTAGGGGTGTCGCTCACGTTTTGGTGACATGACAGGAGGCGAGCTGATGGTGGGGGAGAACACGGTGGGGGAGTTCAGCCTCTCATCACTGAAGCTAAAGCTGTTTCTGTTGAGTGACTCTGCACCTGTTACAAAGAGACAAGACAAAACATAGACGAATGAGATTGGGTGAGCGTTCACTTTTCTGCATGCTCCGTGCAACATGAACACACACACACACACACACACACACAAATCTGATCTGTGTCAGTGGAGCATCTTTAGGGTGTAATCACTGCATTCTCCTCTAATGACAGCTTTCCTCTGTGGCCTGTCACACGCATGCATGTGCTTGTATTTGGACACACAGAAGTGTATACAAGCTATACAAAACTGTACTCCAACGCCAATGTTGACTCCCGAGAGGATATGATCATTGCAGTGACATCTTCTCTGCATTTAGATGAGCAAAAGGTTCGACTCCAATGCAAAAAGTACCATTTGTAACTATAAGTCAGTGACTAATCCTCCATTGTGACAGCAATTTAACAGGTTGTCCTGGTTTTTATTCTTGTTCGGGATGCCCTTTCGGTCTCCCCTGTACCACCCAAACTCTAAACGGATAGTTACATAAATGATATAATGGCCTCTTTAATTCTGCCGGATCATATTTCAAGCCACCACATGACATCACATATGTATACTGCCTGTTTACTGCTAGTAAGAAATGGAGGAAAAGAGAAAAAAATACTTTTTTGAAGCTAGATTCCTGTACTACAGGCCAACCATCAGTCGGTCATTTACCGAGTTTTTTTAAGGCAGTTTGACGGCTGTCTCAAAGTCGATGACTAATGTCAAACCAGTTCTTTGCGTTTCCACAGCCAAAGAACAGACTCTTGGCCAGGAAAACTGGTTCCAGTTGAGGCACCAACACTTTGCTGGTCTAGAGCCAAGAACTGCTATTTATGAATGTAACATTGGGCTAGCTGGCTGGCTGGCGAGCTGGTTGGTCAGCTAACATTACCCAAGCAAGCTTTGCTACCAATAATCAATGTCTGTTCATAATAGTGATGTTACATTTTTAACAATGTTAGGTTACTAACATTGTTCGTAACTTTAAAGTTGAGTTCAACGTTAGTTGGTCAGATATCATTACACAAGCAATGATATGTCACAGTTTTAGGGTTACATTTGTAATTGTTTGTATTGTTACGTTCGAGGTTAGTAACATTTGTGTAAGAAAAAAGTAGCAATGCTTGCTTAGCTAATGTTAGTTGGCCAACTGCTAGCTAGCTAGCTAGCATAACAATACCTAATGTTGGAGATGCATACAGTAATGACATGTACTGATGTGGCTCTATGGTGGCTCTCTAGCCCCTGGAAAAGCAAACCGGTTAAATTTAACCAGCTCTAAACTGGCACTAGCGCTAGCCAAGAACTAGCACTAGGTTCATGTTGATATAATATTGCTCATTCAAATCTGGTCGTAGAAGTGTAGAATTGGTAAAAGAAAGTAGTAAAAGAGTCAACCTTCCTGACCATGATATCTATGTGAGTATGAAGTAAGTGTGTGAGACAAATAGAAGACTAGGCAGCACTTAAAGCAGTCCTTGTCTGTCTCACTCTGTGCTGAACTCCAGCGGACCTTAACAGTGTCTCAGATGTCGACCGCTGTACTTAAGTCCCCCCCTCTGACCTGTACCACTCCCACCACTCAGCACTGAACACACAGCGTGAGAGAGGAGACGCCACACACAACAGGGAGCACCCAGGAGCAAACACACAGAGCTGTGGTCTTAACATCAGCGTTTGACTTGGACTCATTTCTCGGTTTTCATTCCTTACACACACTCTGCCGCTTCTACCTTCTATCCATCTCACTCAAACATGCACAATCTAAGTGTGTGTCTCTAAGTTAAATGGTTCCACAGACAGCCTTTCCAGAAGACTGTAAAGATCTTGTCACGTCTTCTGATGCCCCCGTCTGCTCACACGTGTTCAGGAAGCTATCTTTGCCCATGGGGACCTGAAGCATATTTTTCCTCTGTGTGTCAGCATGTGAGGCGTCTGGGCTAGAGGCTTCCTGAGGCCAGCTCTGCAGCACACTTTTCTAACACCATATGTTGGATGAGAATAAAGCTTTAGAGAAGCAGTCACAATGTGGTGGCAGTTGTCCCAAAATATGCAGTGATGGCTTAATCTGGCGCCGACATCTCTGGATTTCTCTGTCTCTCCCTTTCTTTCTCTTTCTTTGTGTTCATGTGTAATTGTTTGTAAGAACATACTGTACATGCATGGGTGCGTGTGAAGCAGACTCCCCAGCTGCCCTCTTGATGGCACACGATAAGATACTGCATGCAAAGGAGTAACACTGACTCCAGTAGAGAAGAGAGGCGAAGTTTATGTGTGATAAGCAGGCCTTCTTGGTATTCTATATAGACCTATGGCAAAGTGGGCAGAACTCCATTGTGGACTGGCAGGGGTAAAAAAATATCAAGGGCACCAGCGTGAAGAAAGTTGTGGTGCATTTATTGTGAAACAGTTTAGCCAGGGTTAGGATTAGCACCCTAGAGGGCGCTTTACCATGTTTTCTCCACTAGAAGGGCACTTCATCAGGTTTTATCTACCATAGGAGCGGCACTTTTGCAGCATTTTTTTGAAAATGGAAGCATCTCTTTGAGTCCACCAGTGGCCATCAGTGACAGACAACAGATGCTGTCTACTTCTTTTTTCCCTCTTCTTACTAATCTGTATATACATTTATTTTGCGCTTGGTTTGGCAGTGTAAGCATCTGTTTCCCGTGCCAATAAAGCCCCTTCGACTTTAACTGAACTGAACTGAAATCATGTCTGCAGTGCCTGATCTCCATTCTGGAGTCTTAGCTGTCATGGAGGAATTTTCATTGCACGATTTTAATATGCTGTCTAGAACTTTCCCCGGTTTCAGAAGCCCAAATGCATCTGCATGACATACTCTGAACGGTCCACGTTCATTGTCCCCATGATGCAGATCATAATAAGGGGAGAAACAATATGCCACAGGAAAATGCTCCCTATATATTCTGGAGAACATGCAGTTAAACTCCCACTCACTCTCTGAGTCGCTGATGCCGCTGTCGCTGACGCTGGCGCTGCTCCTCCTCTTCACGGTCTTCAGGTGCTCGTCGTACCTGAAGTGTCGCTTCTCCACCGGCGACGTGAAGTCCTCGATCACCGCGTCGAACTCGCCCAGCACGTCGGTCAGATCCTCCTCGTTGACGAACTTCGCTGCGAGAAAAATACCAGAAAAAACTAAATGAAACTTTTTCAGCTGATCCAGGGACGGACATTAAAGCTTGCAGCAAATAGGCTATATGATACAGTATGAGGACAATATGAACATGTGACTGAGAAGTGAAAGGGAAAAAAACATTAAATGCATGATCATAATAAACCCTATATTCCCTATTGGAATATTGTATTTAAATCCTTCCTCTATGAACCTATAGTGGGCAAGGAGTGCGTAAACAGTAATATAATTGAATTAAAATAACCAAGGATGGAAAAACAAATCAATATTTACCTTGAGGTTTCAACTTTGGAGACTTCATCATTGAGAATAGTAATGAGATGATCCGGTACAGTCCTGAATAGATATATGTCCCTCAGTGTTAAAGTCCCACTCTGTCACACTCCTGAAGGTCTTGAACTAACCCTGCAGCCCGGGGACCGCCGCTTTTTAACGAGTGCTGCTCGGTGGGGGCGGTGACGACAGCAGCACGAAGGGAGAGAGAGTGTGTGTGTGTGTGTGTGTGTGTGTGTCGGTTATAGTTACACTCCCCTGACGTGTCCCTCATAAAAGTATGTTTGTAAACAACTTATGTGTCACTTGACCGGCAGAGGTGTAATACACAGATATTTATAATCGTGAGCCAGAGCATTTCACATTTTATTACCGGGCAGATCAGACAGAACGAGGCCAAAGTGTGATTGACAGACAGACAGGTCATTAGGAGCCAACAGTTTCGCATATGGGGCCTCAAAATTAAAGCTGCAGTAGGTAACATTTATAAAAATATCTTTGTGTCATTATTGCTGAAACTTTCACCATATCCTGACAGTCCTACATGAGACAGATTAGACATAAGGAGAACTAGGAGGAGCCAGAGGAACCAGATTTTTTCACAGATTATCTGGCTAATGTCTTTTTTTAATAATAATTACCTAACTGAATGTAACAAACAGTAACTTAATTACAATTTAAAGGTGCACCTAACTGGATGGTAACAATTCTACCTCTACTTCTTCAGAAGCATTCAGAAGACATTATTTTTACTCCACTACATTTATCTAATAGTGATGGTTACAAATAACGATTTGGCAAAATGTATTTAAAAGGATTACTTTCAGTCTCTTTTTTATCCAAATGTCTATTGTCTATGTCCAATTCACATATAAAGACATAAGATAATACAGATGCTTATTTAATTGTTGATGGAATGTATGGCACAAATTAAAAGTAAAAAAAGACAAATAAACATACGAAGCATGTGATCATCTAATAAAACATTATATATTGTTATGGATTTACCTACCAGTATGAAAAAATATATAAAATTAGCTTGACTTTCTGCCAGTTAAAACATTAAAATTCTGCTTACAATTTAATGCATCAGTAACAAGTGGATATAAAAGTTTTTTTTTTACATTGAGTAAAGGATCTGAATATTTCCTTCACCATTAATATTTAACACAGTCAGACCTTAGTTGCCTCAGTTAGAAGGAAGTCATCTGGTACAAAATTATCTCCAGTGATCTTATCAGGTGGAGGTCTATCAGACCAAACCTTATCACACTGACATGAAAATGTTTTGTCTAGACCTGATCTCTGGCAAAGGTGAGGCAAGAGCGACATCTGGTGGTGCACTGTCGCCACTGCATCTCATGTTTTTATACCTCTAAATGAGTAATTTCCTTGGTTAATGTATGGTGCAGAATACAAATGCTTGAGCTTGGCAGCTGGAAACAGCAGTTGATGAAACAATCACAACTTATTTGCTTGTTTCTGTGCTTGTTCATCAGCCTGTGTGATACAGTGGAAAGGTCTGAAACAAGAAAGTAATCAGCTGCGGCTATATTGGCTGGTGTTACATGTTTCTCAGACACAAAACAAAATCTTGTTCTCCAAGATAGTGTCTGGAGTCTGTATGAGCTGCTGGGTGGCCTTTTTAACTGGATAATCTGTTAAAATCTCATTGAACAAGACACTCAACATGTACCAGGGCCCTGACCCCTGCAACAAGAGAGTTTCCCAACAATAAAGTGCCACATTGAAATTATTATGCTTAATATCTCCACAGACTAACAGCTGCTTCTCATCAGTAACCAAAGGCCCAGACAGCCAGTTGTCCAATAAAGCTATCTGTGAGTTAATTTGTCTCCACAAATCAGTAGCACGCAGGGCAGCCATGCTGAGACTTTCACACCTCCAGTGCCCAGTTTAACATGATCAGCAAATGGATCAGCATGCCATGTGTTTGCAGCTGCACGTGTCTGTTGACTCTGGAGGCCCTGAGGTGCCACTTAACGATGGGCCAGGCCCTCATCTGAGGTGCTAAACATGACACCTTCAAGACACTGTGAGAAGATATCAGTACTCACATACTTAGCATAACAAGACGGGCAGAATCCATTCATTTATGTGCTCATAAATCACTCAGCGGTACACTGAAAGATAAGAAAGGTAATCATATTTATTGAAAAATAAATTACATGATCAGTACTTACATATTTACATTCATTTTCATTCATTTCTGATAAACAAAATGCACTATATCAGCCTAAAAATGCAACTAGTATTTCAAAAACACATAAAACTATTGACAAAAGTGTCAGGATTACAGTTTTATAGTTCCTTCTAACTGGACATATATCTGTATAATAGACCACATTACACTGTATTCGTTTGTAACAGGCTGAAATTTCCCAGTGACAGCAGTCCTGATTTATGTAGCATTTGAGTTTCACAAGCTGTATTACATAACATTACATAATAAATGGCTTCAGTAATAAATATATGTATGTGTTTGCTTGTGCCTGCACTCAGAAGGAAGTAATGCTGAGTATTTATGTATGCAGCATTCTCCATACATGACTGACAGAAGTAGAAGTGCATATGTCTGAGCATACACTACATGTGTGTTTCATTGTTTTTATTTGGCATTGGTCCACCAGCATAAAAGTTCAAGATACAATTGCACTGAAAAAAGTGTGCATCGGATACAACTGGGGATGAAATTGGGATCAATTCTTTCTAACATCTTTTCATTGGTGAAATCCAATTTGTTAGTAGAAGCCCTATACCTTTATATTTAGAAATGCAACCAGTGATTTAATATTTAGGGTGATCCCTTCTCTATAAAGTTTCCAAAGCAAGAAGAACCAAAGAAATAAAATCAAACTATTTGCACAACATCGTATCGTGTTGAATTGCATTGTGTTAATTCCAATCATCTCCAATTGCACTACATTGCAATAGGGGTGAATTGTATTGCATCACATTGATAGTTGCTTCATATGTATCTGACCGTTGGCAATGCATTGAGATGCAAGATGCAAGGTTGTTTGGTTTTTGGTATCAAGGAATCCTAAGGCCGGAGAGCCATATTTAATGGGATGTAGTCTCAGGGATCCCTGTGTGATCAGATTTAGTTATTCCATGATTGCCAGTATTTTAGCTTGGCAGATTAACAGTGAAAAGTGTGAAACCTATGAACAGATAGTCATTCTTATACATTCTGTCATTTGAATAAATTCTGAAATAGTGAAATTAAAATATTTCCTATTTGTCTGGGGAAGCCCTTCAAGGACCGCAGGTGGTCTCTGACCCTAGGATGAGAACCACCACCCTAGTTGACCTGACATGTTTATCACTCAAAGTCACAGCCCAGCAGTTCTATTCTCATGGTGATGGCGCCCATCCAGCTTTTGGGGATGATTCGGATGAAGCGGGAGAAGATAGGAGGGTAGATGTAGTTCTTCACATGGTCGTTGTTATCAGCGTTTCCAAAAAAAGTCTGGATTTGATGAGAGAGAGAAAGATATTGTTTCGAATAATTACTTCTCTACTACCGTTAAACAAAAAATCCAGTTACCAGTGAACTGGCTCACCTTGAACGGGACGCCCTCATCATCTGTGTACTCTTTCCAGTGTATCCCATTGTTGCTGTACTGCAGAATGTAGGAGATAACATACATCTCTTTCCCCAGAGACTTGGCTCCTTGCGTTATGATACCTGTGATCTTCCTAATTTGGGGCAGCTCCACCTGAAGCCACTGGTTCATGTCATTATGCTGTGGATGAGAGAGATAACAGGTTTGACTTGTAGGTTGTATGCGTACACATTTCTGAACAACTAAAAGTATTTGTGTGCTATTTCAAGGGACAATTTCAAGGGATTTCTGGAGTTGCGGTTCTTTACTGCTAGCAGGTCTGAGATCCTGTGTTACAAGAACAGTGACATTCTATATGTTCTACCTGATACTAAAAGTAAATTTGAACACATTAATTTTGATGCCTCATGTCAGTATTAAGATTTGTACCTTTGCCTGCCATGCATTCACAGCACCTTGTCTGTTGAGGCGCGCAAGGGAGGGTCTCCACGGTCCCGAATACCAGCTGGAAGCTACGGAGCTGGCTGTGATGCGATGGTCTTCTATCTGTCCACTCTCCATCCCAAGAGGAACTGAGCAGCCTGAGGAAAGAGATTAGAAATGTCACATTTAAGTAATTGTAGACAAGGAGAAATTATTGTTGGGACATGCAGTTGGGTGACATCTGCCAAGCACTGGAAATCAGTTTCAGGTCAATACATGATTTGCTCCAGAGATAGCAGATGTATAGTTAACAAGAGGGGATCCAAAATAGATCCTTGGGGGACACCACAAACTAGAGAAGCACACAACTACAGAGAAGGACCTATTCGAAAGATAGGACTTAAACCAATGTAGCGCCACACCACTGATGCCAACATAGTTTTTCAGGCGACTGATTAAAAGAGCGGTGTAGATGCAGATCACAAATCCCTTGCTTCACCTTCTCCTTCCAGAGACAAAGGAGAAACTACAGTGGCTGAGAA